ATTCCACATTCCACTCTAGACACTTCACGCTCCCCACTCGCACCACTCTTCATGCCGCACGCTCCGCACTCTAAGTCTACACTTTATATTCCACATTCCACGCTCTACACTTGGCACTCCACGCTCTATACACTTCACAAAACATTCTAGACTTTACACTTCACGCTCCACACTCCACACTTCACAAACTAATTGCACACTGCACTTCGCACTCAGCATTCCAGACTCTACACTTCACATCCAGACTCTACACGTCACACTCCGCACTGCACTCTATACACTACACAGTCTACACACGACACTTTCATACACTTTCCACTTAAACCGCCTAACTTCACACTCCGCGCTCGTGCCCCTTCACCTTTCCACACCCTGCCGCAGGTGAAATGAGCCAAGGATTGCAGAGCAGCGCCATCACAGGTGCTATGTTTGTGCAGCAGACTTCCAGACGCATGGAGTTTTGGCGAGCTTTTCTAAAAAAACAGGGGCATGAGGAACATGTTCCCCCTATAATGGGCCCTAATGAATCAATCAAATCTGGCTCGGGGTTGAACCACCCATCCCAACATCGATTCTATCTTCAAATAGACATCCTGATACAATTTATGATAACTTATTGATCTCAGGGTACTATATTGTATTTCCCACCCCGAAAAATCTTCGAATCTGCCGCAGTATCCCCACCGCGAAAACACTTCGGCATATGTGCTGGGACCTTCTGGGATGGAAATTGGCCTGTAGTTTGGTTTTCAATTCAACACATCTCTATATTACACACTATCCGACAAGTCATCTGACAAATCCGCCCGCATAAACTCTGCAAGTCATCTGAAACCTCTCTCGAGATTTTGACAAGCATTCTACTAATTATCTGCCACATATTCTCACATGTTATCTATAAAATCCAACAAATAGGCTGACATATAAATATACAATTTGCATTGTTCTGTTTGACATAAATTCGGTGGTCGTCTGCTTCGCATGGGAGAACATGCCCGAAATACACTTAATTGTCGTACTTTTCTCACCAAAAACTCTTGAAGCATTTTTTGTCTACATTTTGTCCCAGCATGCAGTGAATTGGTTCTGTTGTGCACAAGCATGTCCAGTGAAACATGAACAAAATCAGGATGCGATGGAAACTGCACCACCACCTTTCTGTTTCTGACACCTGAATCCATGCAAAGCTAAATCAAACCAAGAAATGCAACACATCTCAAGAATTGACCCTGGACAATGCTTTCCACCTCGAATCTCGGCACGTGCGGTGATTTCAGACCGCTCTTTGTGTCGAGACAGGACGATTAGCAGCAGGTTCCGACAGGTTCCACGTCATATGTTGGCACTTGTAGCCCAACTTCTGTCCAGTGCAAACATCAGCCACTGCAGCTCTGAGAATCGGTTTTGAAATGTTTTCACAACACCACTGCGGTCCATAAAATATGTTCATGTTCCCCTAGAATTGCGTGACTTCGCTCTTTTTGGGGGGCTTGAAACGTGATCAATCCCGATTCGGCTCGACTAGCGGAAGTCTTTCTCTTGCTGAACCGCGGCATTCTAAACTGCGGCATTCAAGGTGTGAGGAAAAATGAAAAGATGCAAGGCTGAGGGCGTTTGAAAGTTTGAAAATGAAGAAAGCATGAAACTTGCTGAACTTGCTGAAGACTCGTCTTGATGTCCATTTTCCCTTCACACGTGTGAAGACTGATCGTTAAATACAAAATCGGAACATGGTTTCACAGCGCGCTGAACCTTCGCGCTGGCGTCAAAATGAAATGGACACTGCAGCCAGCCGTACCTTCCTGTTTCTGGCACATACAGCAAAAGCAAACCAAAACAAACCGCATCTCAAGATTTGACCGAGAAAACGGCAGGTTCCGACAGGTTCCACCTCATATGTTCGCACTTGTAGCCCAACTTCTGTCCAATGCAAAATTCAGCCACTGGAGCTCTGAGAATCGGTTTTGACATGTTTCACAACACCACTGCGGTCCATAAAATATCTTCATGTTCCCCTAGAATTGCGCGACTTCGCTCTCTTTGGGGGGCTTGAAACGTGATCAATCCCGATTCGGCTCGAGTGGCGGAAGTCTTTCTCTTGCTGAACCGCGGCATTCTGAACCGCGGCATTCAAGGTGTGAGGAAAAATGAAAAGATGCAAGGCTGAGGGCGTTTCGAAGTTTGAAAATGAAGAAAACATGAAACTTGCTGAACTTGCTGAAGACTCGTCTTGATGTCCATTTTTCCTTCACACGTGTGAAGACTGATCGTTAAATACAAAATCGGAACATGGTTTCACAGCGCGCTGAACCTTCGCGCTGGCGTCAAAATGAAATGGACACTGCAGCCAGCCGTACCTTCCTGTTTCTGGCACATACAGCAAAAGCAAACCAAAACAAACCGCATCTCAAGATTTGACCGAGAAAACGGCAGGTTCCGACAGGTTCCACCTCATATGTTGGCACTTGTAGCCCAACTTCTGTCCAATGCAAAATTCAGCCACTTCAGCGCTCAGAATCGGTTTTGACATGTTTCACAACACCACTGTGGTCCATAAAATATCTTCATGTTCCCCTAGAATTGCGTGACTTCGCTCTCTTTGGGGGGCTTGAAACGTGATCAATCCCGATTTGGCACGAGATTGCTCGAGGGACCGAAGTCTTTCTCTTGCTGAACCGCGGCATTCTAAACTGCGGCATTCAAGGTGTGAGGAAAAATGAAAAGATGCAAGGCTGAGGGCGTTTCGAAGTTTGAAAATGAGGAAAGCATGAAACTGGAGGGGTTGCGCAAGGGATCTGGCAAGATCCGCATTCTGGCACAGGAATGTGTGGAGTATACCCCTTAACCAATGGGTTTTGAAGATGACTATTCCTATTGGAAATGGTAAGTTTTTGTCGTTCTTCCGGTGTTCATTGATCCAGTTGTTGATCCTCAAATTTCAAGAGCATCCCAGGAAACACACTTCATAGAGACAACCTTACATCTGTAAGAAATAGTGGGTGCAGTGGTTAAATTTAGATGCCGCCCGGAAGGGACGGCTTTTTTATGAACCCCGTTACTGATGAAAATCCGCCCGCGCTGAAGGTGCCGAGGCGTGGTAGTTTACGAGCGGATGCGACCGGAACAGATCAGGGAAGATTGGGACGTATGTGACCCGCACGCTTGTGTAGCATTGTTCCAAGGGAATATTTAAAAAGTATAATATATATATATATTTATTTATTTATTTACATTAAGTTAGATAAGTTAATAGGAAAATTCCTTTAGTTATATTAATTATTTTCCGGTTTTCCAAGGAATAATTAAAATAACCAAAATAATTCACAGGATAATTCCTTCAATTATTTGGGTTATCTAAATTATTTTGCCATTTCCGAAGGAATATGAAATAATGCAAATAATTAACGGAAAAAATCCTTTGAATTATTCTTACTGATTATTCTAATTCACCTGTGTTTGGTAAATCCCGGGGTTTCAAAACAATTATTTTTTAATTATGTTGATTATCTTGTTCCTTGGGGTTTGGCAAAAGAACTAAAATAAGTCAATTATTTACTGGGAAAACTCCTTTAACTGGTTTAATTATTTTCCCGTTTCCACGGAAAAAAACTAAAATAGCTTTATAGGATAATTCCTTCAATTACTTTTATTATTCAATTACTTGGCCGTTTTAACTAATGAAAAAATAAGGGAATTAAAATAATTAAAAACCACTTACAATAATTTACGGGCAAATGCCTTTAATTATTTTAATTAATTAAGCTGTTTTGCCATTTCCCAAGGAATAACTACAATACTTACACCAATAAAAAATAAAAACATAGTTCTATTGAAATCCGGGGATTCACCAAGCACAGGTGAATTCGAAGAATTAAAATGATGAAGAGGAATTTTTCCCTTAATTGTTTTTATTACTTTAATTATTCCTTCGAAATGGGGGGCATAGCTTGCCCAATCCGAAATCCTCAAAACGCCCGTTTTGACTTAAGTATTTTCCGCGTTTTTTGGCTATTGATCACGCTTCGTTTGAAGCTATGTTCCCCATGTTGTGTCTCCGTTGGGCCCAACTTGGTGTGAAGCTGTCGCCAAATTAAGGGTCCCAAGTTGCGCAATGTTACACGTGACCTGGGCGTCCATGTGCATCACATAGCTTCTATTTGGGGTCCATCTGGATCGCTTTGCGCCCAAATGGGGCAGGTGGGAGGGGGTCCGCCACATCGCTTTGCCCCCAGATAGCGAAACTTGTGGGCACTGCAGCCCAGGCCCAAGTTGGGCGATAGCTGAAGACTAGCATCTTTACCTCTATTTCCAACGTTTTTTTGGCTTTGACAGGGGTTCGTGCAAAAACCATTGTTGCCCGCATTGGGCCTGTCTTGGGCTCAACTTCCACGCCAGACGCCCCCCACACAGGACCAAGTTGGGCATAAGCCCGGTGCCCACGTTGCGCCATGTTAAACTGGCCCGAGTTCGGCGCAAGTTACGCCCAAGCTGGGCCCAAGCGCGCTCCTGTTCAGCCCAACTTAAGGCCAAGGACGGCCAAGTTTGACCCCATTCGCCTTTTGGTTGGGCCAAGTATGGCCCGCTTCTTTCCTCTCTGTCCTATTCCTTGGGTGCAGGCAGTTCTCGTCGCGAAGCGACTTGAATAAAGCGTTAAACAACCAAATCAAAACTTACTTGGGGGTGCGGTTCCACTAACAAATGAGTTGCGCAACAATAGTTGTAGGGTTTTAATCCAAATTTATGAAAGGGTTTACCATAATTAGATTCATTAATAACCGACTGCACCCCCAAGTACTCAGCCATTCCCATCAAGAAATGTTCAAGTATGCCCTACATTGTGGTACGACCAATTTTTTAACGGAAACATCCATGATGTGTCTTCAAACCATCATCAACGACAATAAGTTCCGCGTAAAATCCACATCTAGATTATTTGGTGCAGTGTAACCTGTTCTTGGATTGCGCAGGAAAATTAAAAACATGACATAAATGTGACATTTTTTGAGTTCCACCTACAGCATTTTTGGCTATAGACTCAGTCGGTGTGATTATGCCTCGTTACGTTAGACTGTCCATCTTTTCACTTCTTCCATCCACGGACCTCGCATCGCGTCACACTGGAAGTGCCTTCCAACCACAGCGACTTGAAGCCGAACATCACGCAGCGCCAATCAAATGCTGTCGGATCAGTTCCTCAATAGCCGATCCCCTGCTTTTTCTACGCCTTCTTTCATTGTGGTTAGCCAACGCAAAGCATTGAACACCTGGAAATGATGAACTGAGAAGTATCCACATCCTGGAACACTTTTCTCTCTACGCGGCTTTGTACGGTCCTATCACAAACTGTAACTAGGACCCCGCAAGCGAAATATGGTCTTGTCCAAACTACGTTGCCCCAAAATCGCATCGTATTACGCGAAACATTTTGCCTATCAATCAAAAACGAAATGGTATAAGTGGTTTTGTCTCAAAATAAGTTGCCGAAATCTCCACTATTTTCCCGATGCTGACGGCCACAAGTGACATACCCACATGTCATGTTGGTCGAAATACTCCCCATGATTTTACTATATCCAGGTCCTGGGCCCCCCCTTGCCCTGAAGCATGGCCTCGCTATCCCCCAACCCCCGTGTTTTGTGGGTTGGGGTTGGGCGAGGTTGTATAAGCAGTGTGTTGATAGTATCCCCCCTTCCCCCCTGGGGTGTGGGTTGGGGTGGGTGTAGGATGGAGCATAAAATAGCTGGCGCATGAGAAATAAAAGAATGGAGTGCCAACATAAATAGTATATGCGCTATACGGTAGTATGTATGTAATCTCTGGGTATAGTGCCTGTGCATTTATAACCGTAAAATCCCCGACAGATTGAACATGTGCAACATGTTGGCTGATAATATCCACTATTATTTCTGAACCAAATAAAGCTATATAAATCCCTATAGGTTTTTGAATGCCGCTGAAATTAATCCCATGAACTTCGCCGAGAATCCTTGGCATCAGAGTCTTGCAGGGCCTCCTGCTGGAGCTGGTGGTGCACCGAGTATAGATTTCTTGTGTTCAGCAACTTCGCCACCCGCCGCCGAATACGATTGCGTGCGGAGGAGCGGCGGGTCCCCGGGATGGGCGCCTGCATTTGATCTGCATGGGCAAGATGGGAATATTCACAGCGGTCTCCTTTCAAACAGCCAGCTTGATGGTAGGAATTGAGCAAGCAGGGAGATCGATGATTGGGACCCTGTGGGCCTACTGTTCGCACTCGATGACTCGAATCCCCTGGCCCCGCTGGGCGCCATTGATGATTGGGATCTTGTGGCCTTGCTGGGCGAACTCGATGATGGGGATCCTGTGGACCCGCTGGGCGAACATGATTGGGATCCTGTAGGCCTGCTGGACGAACTTGATGATTAAGGTCCTGTGGGCCTGCTGGATAACCTCGACGACCGGTAACTTGTAGACCCACCGGACGAACATGGTCGGGATCCTGACGAACTTGATGATCTGGATCTTGTAGACCCACTGGAAGAACTCCATCTTCGACCGCATCTGGAAATTCTGCTGGTCGGGTTTGGGACTCGCCCGATTGCGGAGATTTCCCCTCCCCATCAGAACCAGATTGCCCAGATTGTTCGGATTTTTTGGAATGCTCAGATTGCCCGGATCCCCCGGAACGCCCAGATTGGTCAGATCCCCCGGAATGCCCAGATTGCCCGGTTGCCCCCGATGGCGCGGAAGACATCATGTCTTTGTCGCTGTTCGTCAATGCATCCCCAAGCCAATGGTTCACATCTAGGACGTATCCTGACAGTCAGGACGGCGCATTCATGCATGGTTCATGTTCAAGCGGAATGGATTCTGAAGATGTCTCAGTAAATGATGGCAAAACACGGTGTCAGAAACAATGATGCATGCCAGAATAACCAACACCCGTTGGCTACAGAAATTACAATACCATGCACATTGCATGCACCCATGGTGCTGTGTAAAGCTATGTCCAAACAATGTGGGATTAAGCCACTTCTCCGTTGATGATCCAATGCCATTGTAGGAAACTATCATGAGTCGTATGGTAGGATCGCATGAAAACCAACCCTAGTAAACAATGAAAGCATAGAATCCTTGGTAGCAAGATAGGGCAAGGGCCTTGCTTGTACACACAAGATTTTTTCAGCTGCACACACGCTTGCGCGGGTGAAATGACATGGGGAAAGGGTGGCCGGTGGGCTGATCTTGCGGGAGGGCTGGGTTGGAAGAACTGGAATGATTAGGGGTGGTGACCTTGCAAGGGTGAGATGGCACAGGAAGGGAGTGGGTGGGTTGTGGTCTGAGATTTTGATGGGTGCAATGACTTATGGGTTGCAAGGGTGAAATGGTGTGGGGAAAGGCTGGGGTGGGCCGGGTGGGGTAGGGATGGTATGGGGAAGGGCAGGGGTGGGGTGGGTTTTGAGAATCGGCTTGCTTGCCCATGGAATTCCAGTAGTACCACGCAAGGCGGCGGTGGAAGTTTCAAACGAAACCTAAAAGAGGGGCGCGCTGTTGTGATGCATGGATGGAGGGCAAACCTTCTGATGGACCAGTCTCTCTGTCTCTCTCTCTCTCTCTCTCTCCCTCCCTCCCTCTCTCTATTATATCTATCTGTCTGCCTGTCTGTCTATCTATCTATCTATCTGTCTATCTGTCTATCTATCTATCTATCTTATCTATCCACCCATCTATCTAACTATCTATCTAACTAACTGTCTGTCTATCTAACTATCCATCTATCCATCCATCCATCCATCTATCCATCTTGTTAAGAATACAATAGTTTTGATATCAACAATATCCATAATGTACATGGCAACAATGCACAGCACAATCTGTGCTCTGGATCAAGGCCTTGAGCCTAAGACAATTGCCAGAGGAAAAACAATACAGCGGATCGTGCACAAGACAAGGACAATTGGACAAGAGGACAAACGTGAGACAACGTGGACACAATCCATCACAACCAGAGTGCCGGTGAAACTTTACATGGTAGCGGAGCAAGGATCCTGGCAACGACAATCCAGGTGAGCTCCAATACCACAACACTCAACAAACACACACACAACAGCAACAGAAGGAGACAAGCCTTGACCCCACAAGAGGTAGCTTGTGACAACTACGGCAACAATGGCAGTAGCAGCACCGGCAGGAGGAGCATTACCTCCAGTGCCAGAAGACAATCTGGCCAACATGAACAGATACAAACTCAAGCCCCCCTTCTACAATGGAGACTACAGCACGTTTGAAGAATGGAAGTACAAGTTCACAGCATACATGGGCCTACAAGACAATGACTACACACCACTACTACAAGCAGCAGAGGCTGCCAATGCAGAGCTGACCGAAGCACAACTACGAGGAGCAGCAACAACAATTGAGGATGGTGAACGACATGTTCGCCTCAGCACCGACTTGAGGTACATCCTCATCAACACAACAACTGGGGCAGCAGCAACAGTCTGCCGACAATACCAGCACACAATCGGCTTTGAAATGTACAGACAACTTTGCATACGATTCTCAATACCATTTGGCACAAGATCAATTGGACACCTTACACGACTACTCAAACCAAAATTCGACAACAACAATTTCGAGGAGTCATTCTCAACATGGGAATTTGAGCTCCAACGCTTTGAGCGTGACAATGGACAACAATTGCCAGATGCAGTAAAAATACCAGTGCTACTCAATGAGACAACAGGACCACTACAACAACACCTACAACTACCCTCAGGACAAAACCCAAACTACGCCAGAGTCAAAGCAACAATCATTGAATACTACAGATCGACAACAGCATTCAGCAAGCTACAACAACTCGCCACACAATCATCCAGCGTGTCAACCAACTATGCTGGAGGACAAGCACCCATGGACATTGACGCAGTGCACAAAGGAAAAGGAAAACACAAAGGAAAAGGTAAAGGCAAAGGAAAACATAAAGGCAAAGGCTACGGTGGATACAACGGCTACGGCTACAACAATTACAACAAAGGAAAAGGAAAGAATGGAGGGAAAGGATACAACCCCTACAACAATCCAATTGGATACGGCAATCCTTTTGGAGGAAAAGGCAACGAAGGATACAAAGGATACAACAAAGGAAAAGGAAAAGGAAAGAACAAAGGAAAACAAGTGACCGATACCTGCTACAGGTGTGGGCGAGCAGGACACTATGCCAAAGACTGCAGAGTAGCAATCCACAACATTGGACAAGGAGAACACAATGACAATGAAGACACAACAGCACAATGGCACACCGACTACTATGACAATGGCTGGTACCACATAGATTATACACAGCAGCAGCCGCAGCAGCAATACTATACACAGCAGCAGCCTCAGCAACAATTGGCATTACCACCAATCCCACCAACGGCAGGCAACAGCGGCAGTATGCCAATCCATGTCATTGCAATGGTTAGCAATGGCAACAGCAACAGCAACAACCAAATGACAACAGCTGACACAACAAACATCATGATCGATAGTGGAGCAGCTACACACGTATGCCCACTATGGTTTGCAGACAATTACCCAATACACAGGTTCGACGAAGCACAACTTCCAAACCTGAGGGCGGTCACCAACAAGACCATACAATGCTATGGCGTGAGATGGGTCTACATGCAATCAAGGGGACAACCAATTGTCATACCATTCTATGTGTGTGACATACATGACCCGATCCTGTCAGTGACAAGACTGGCAGAACAAGGCTTTGACATCAGGTTCAACGACACACCCACAATGAGCCACAACAAGGGATTCGACGTCTCCTTGGTCCAACAACACAACCTTTACTACCTACCAGCAACAATTGTGAACTTGGAACAACACCAGCAACTACAACTTCGACAGACACCAGAGGGCATGATAGCAATGATTGCCCCAACCACGCTGACACAAGCAGGACCACAACAAGTCCTTGGAGGAAACAACGACTACTGGAACTACAACAGTGAAGGATACCTGGTGAGGTACCACAGGAACAAAAGAAAGGCACTATTCGTTCCTGGTAACAATTGTCCAGTATCTCTTGGAAGATTGAGCAACTATCGAAGGACAATTGTCAGACGGCCAAATGGGCACAATGAGGATTTCGTGGAACGGTACAACGACTTGGGTAAGAATGCACAAAAGCGAATCCTACAAGGTGATGCCTGGACAGGAGAAACTTGGTTCAAAGTGACTGGACAACCAGCAGCCACGCAACCATCTGCAGCACAACCGAGGACACCTGTGCCTCAACCACAGCCACAGCAGACAACACAAACAGAGCACCAGCCACCGGTGCCACAACTGCCAGCACACGCAGAAACATGCAAGCAGACAATCAACCGAGAACCACTCTTTCGACATACAACCAAGAAGCCACAACCAACAACGACGGCAATACCAGGACCACAAGCACTGACACCAAACTCTGACTACTGGATCAGAGAAGGACACCTGTGGAAGCGTGTCCACATACAACCACGTACAACACTTTACGTACCAGAACAATCAGATGATGGGCCGAACATTGAACGATTGACTTCAGAAAGAACAACAATGGTGTCACCAACAGAGCAAGCAAGAGGATGGAGGATTGACGACAATTGGAAGGAATCAGGAGCAAGACCACTTGACAGACAATGGACAGGTTCAACAAACTTTGAGGAAGATGTCGAGTACAAGTATGAGTACGACACAGACAATGAGGAAGAAACACAACAAGCACAAAGACCACGAGGAATGAAGGCCCCACAACAACCAACAAGGCAAGAAAGATTTGAGCACGAACTGACACACCTGCCATACAGAACATGGTGCCCAATTTGCGTGAAGAGCAAAGGCAGAACAGATAATCACCCAAAGCAAACAAGCAAACAACCGGTGATACAAGTGGACTTCACATACATGAAAGCCTTTGGAGACAAACAAGTACTACCAGTACTGACAGCAATAGATGTCGAATCAGGTATGGCAATGGCAGTTCTTGTACAAGACAAGAACCAACAACAACAATACCTGGTACGATGTCTACAAACATTCATGTTTGAATGTGGACGAGCACAAGCAACACTTTCACCAACAACACTACAAACAGACCAAGAGGAGTTCATCCTGAACCTCTTGAAGACAGTGGCACAAAACCTTGGAGCCAACATCAATGTAAGACAATCACCAGCATACTCATCACAATCACAAGGCAGTATCGAACGATACCACCGCACACTGATGGGACAAGTACGAGCTTTACTACAACAAGTCACCAGCAGCTACAACCTCACACTGAGCGTACAACATCCAATCCTACCATGGATTGTGAGACACGCAGCATGGCTACTGAACAGGTACGCCATTCACAATGATGGGCGAACAAGTTACCAAAGGAGATGGCAAAAGGATCACAAAGCACCACTGTCTGAGATGGCCGAAACAATACAATACATGATTTCCACCACAAGGACACTACCAAAGATGGAACCAAGATTCTTCAAAGGTATCTGGCTTGGAAGAGACACAATGACAGGAGAATCAATAATAGGAATTCCAGGCAAAATCATCAGGGTGAGAACCATTCGAAGACAAATTGAACCAGACAAATACGACAGGCAACTCCTGGATACAATCAATGTGTATCCATGGAACTCACCAACACCGCCAACGGCAATATCACCACAACTACTCTTACCAGCCAACCCACAAGCAAGCAGCTACGCCATTGGTACACAAACTGGCATCCCAATGACTGAGACAAGCACACAAACACAACAAGCAGGAAC